GGCATGTTCAAATTTTTAGTATTTATGAATAAAAACGGCCGTCAGTTGAATTTCAACCCTGCTTACAATTATTCACACTTTGTGCAAATTGTATAAAAAAAATATTAAAAGCATGTCTGAAAAGTGAGTTGAAAAAAAAAAATGGCTGCCAGTCAGCTATTTCGAATCAAATTCTGAAAATGTTGGTGTTTCAGGAACAAAGGTCATCAAAACGAAACACAAACCAAACGGCACATATATACAATTATGTCTTTGTACTTAATATGAACAAAATCAGTCAATGTAAGACATCCAGGATATAAATAGGAACACCTGAAAATAAAACGCAGATGCCATGGTTCAAATTAATAAACAAATGACATCATCCATCAGTAAACATCTATGAAAGTTGTCAATACTAAATTTGAATTTGAATCATGCCAGGCATACCTGAGAAACGATATATAGTAGATAATATTTAGTAATTATAAAAAGTAACTATATTCAAATAACTAGATGTTTATTTATTACTATTTTTGTGCACCAGAAACAGTTGATGACAATAATTTTTGTTGTTTTGGGGACAAAATGTCCACCAGTCACCAGTAAAACAAAAAAGTCAAATTGATGTGCAAATGTATACCATTATGACTAGTCATTGCACCCATGAAATCAGTATATGCGAGAACTGTTGTTGTTGGATGGACGGATGAATGGATGGATGAATGGTTGGGTAGAAAAATGACAGAATCCAAAAGGTTTTTTTTGGATGTCCATCCATTGGGAAATAAAAATACAGATAAAATATCTTACACACATAAAATATACAAATAGCAAACATTTTCACAAAAAGGAGGATTCTGGAATAAATAATAGAAAAAACAAAACAATTTCATATCCACACTGACAAGAGAAAGAAAATTAAATAATTTGAAATATTCACACTGTGTATTGTAAAGCTAATAATCAAATTTTAAAAAATTCAGGTATCAAAAGGATAAACATTTTTTTGCTGTACTATGAATAAAATAAGTCACAATATATAGGGAAATTAAAAGATACACTGATTAAACAACATATAAATCAATTTTTTTTTAAAGACATCTTTGCACATGAACATGAAGTACACAAAGATGGGTCAACTTAATAGATTAAAATAATTAGATTGCATGCTGCTGTAGTTGACTTTTGACGATCATATCGTGGCCACTGGTTTCTCTCATTCAAACTTATTTTGTTTATAAAATGTGAATTTTTTTTACCAAATTGCAAATTCCTCATATGAGATATTTTTCAAAGTAACTTTTTCAATTTATGATTTTCTATTGAGTCTGTGATGTGTCAGGAAATGTCCATAACTAGTTGCATCACAAAAAATCTCAGCGCATCAGTGATGCATCATATTGATGTAGAAGGAACTATACACATTTTCAATATGATTTGCATAACTACATCTAAACTGTATGCCCTTGGTTTTATCCACCCTTGATACAATCGATTCTCCCACAATATTTGCATAATCACGATGTCAAAAACATTTTCAATAAATAGCATTTCAATGAGATCATTATATCACCATGTGCACACCCTTATCTTTATCCACCCCTGATAGTGTATAATATGAGTGTAAAGTTCATTGCCAATCTGATTCAAATATGATGTATTTTTTTTTATTTTTACAATATGTTTTATTATTATGCAATTTTGCAAATATTTTGACAGTTGCTCATAAAAATGGAAGATATTTGTTAGAAAAGAAAATGATTCTCAGAAATTTTCAGAGTAGTGTACAAAGAGAGCTTTGTCTTGCAAGTTGAGCTCAGTGCAGGCTTGTTGTACAGAGTTGGTGACAGACGGAGGACCACAACTGAACACACCAATTCTTTCAACCTGTCAAATAAACAAAAAATAACATAATTTTCAATTGAAGCAAAATGAAAATTTGTCATTCCTTTAAAAAGTCAACTCTTGTTTCGTTTACATCCATTGAGATTAAGGCCAATGGGAAAATATGTCCATTTGATTTTGAAATTTACAAAGAAATTATAGAAAAGCAAGCAAAATTTTG